TGTTACTGGCTAACTAATCATAACAATTAGAACCAATCAATCGAGATTCGTGCCACGATGTTCCCAACTTAATGACTTATTGCTTAACTTATACCGTAATGATATTGTTTATAACATTTCAACATCATTATAATTTCATTATTCAATTTACTATTAATAAGTGAATAGTTAATTTAATTTTTTAACGCAACTTAATTCATATACTGTAAGTGAATAATACATGATAATTTTTAATTCTATATTGTACCATAATAATACAGTTGTTTATAATAATCCTCAATATTTTACTTATTAAAAACAATATTTAAATAATCATATTCAGAGCTACGATCTGTTGTGAGCAACAAAAGTATAGTCACGCATAAAAGGATATTGTAGAAAACATTGCTTTGGCAAAAAACCAGTTTGAATACAGGATTAGCATACGATGGATATAAATAATGTACAAATAATTTTAATATTTTAAAGTATGGTTATAATTTTAAAAAATAGGCTCACAATTTAATTGATTTTGTTAACTATTTAATTAATTTAGTTCACAATTAAGCTAATTTAGTTCACTATTTATTTAATTTTGTTAACTATTTAGTTAATTTGGTTCACAAATTATAACCACATTTTAAAATATTAAAATTATTTTTATACGTTAAACAGTATTTCATGTTTCATATAAAAACTTTTGTAAAATCTATTATGCGTGAAGAAACCTCTATATTTGGTTAAAACTCACAACCGATCGCAGCTCTGATCATATTATTAAATATAGAAAATGATTAAATTTTTATTTTTAAAATTAATTAATGCGTTACAAATAATTTATATTTTTATACGATTACTATGGTGATCACAAATATTTAAATCCACTTATGTTTTAATAACTTAATTTTAAAATGTTTATGTTTACTGGTATGTCGCTTGCTACGCTTATTAAATATAAATAATATCATATATAATATAAAAATTATTATGGTGCCACTTTATAAATTGTGTAGATTTATAAAAATAAAATAATCTTAAAATAATAGATAGCATGTCGAAGTTTTATGAATACTTGTGATAATTTTTTTTATAATTTTAATCAATAGAAATGCTATGAACGGGTGCGGGTCTATTGACCTAAAAACCAATTGACCTAAACTAAAATAACTTAATGACCAATAGACTTTTGACCATTGTAACGATAGGTAAGGTCAAGGGGAACATTTTACACTGGTCATCTGGTATATTTACCTACTGGTCATTAAGTTATTTAAGTTTAGGTCAATTGGTTTTTAGGTCAATAGAGCCGCACCCATTTTCTATATCTCATGAATTCCTATGAGTTCTCACAACTCATATACTTATCGGTCGCTAAATATATCACAATTATAGGTTATTTCCAATAAAAAAAATATGATAAGAGTTAAACATAAACCACCTTAATCAATTTTAAAAATTTTAATATTTAAACAAATTATTACAATATTGTATTCGCAAAGTTTTTCATTTAATTGATAGTAGGATGTATAATGAAAATGTCATTTTTTGTAACATATTACATAATAGTGAATTAGTAAATATCTAAGAAGGAATGTCCCTAATCAAAAGTAAAATTTATCATTTCTGTAGATATTTTAGTATTCGGTATCATAATTAGATTCAATTTCAGTAAAAACTAAATTCCACTTGAGTGATATAACATTAAAATAATTATAATTAGTTTTAATTAATTAGCAAGCATCTCTATGTATATAAATTAAAGTGTAGTGTAGTGCAGTGAAGTAAGAATATGGGGTCAAAAGGGCTAACAAGTTCTTGTATTAAATTGATAATCAATAAATATTAATTTTAATTATTGTATTGTTATATGACTCAAGTGGAATTTAATTTTTACTGAAATTGAATCTAATTATGATACTGAATACTAAAATATCTACAGAAATGATAAATTTTACTTTTGTTAAGGGACATTCCTTCTAAATATAAAGTATATACATAACATGAGATTGCTGGGCTTAATATCCTGGCTCATGGAGGGCAAGTCAAACACTTCCAACAGTAGGGGATGTTGTGCCACAATCTTGCGATCAATTTCGAGACAGTTTTGCACCTTTTTCTCGGCCAACACTTCCAGATAATACAAACTCCGTAAAAGTCGCCGACATTTCGCCTGAGACTCGGTTTCATCGCGATATCGCAATAGTAGACAGCGTTGCAGTAAATACATGTATGTCTGCTGTTGGACCCTGGTCACAAATATTAGAATATATAAAAAGTCACCAAGCTACTTATAATTCATTACTTACTTAATGGAATCTATGCGTAAGGTTAGGTCAATTGGGGTTAAACAGTATGATTGCAGTCAACTGTATAAACAAACATTAAGAATATTCTGTTATATGTACATATTATTTGCTAGTAAAATTGTACCAGGTCCAAAACTACAGTATCCAAGTTCCAGTCGCTGAGAATTTTCTCAAAGAATATTCTGTATAACGAGTGTATATTCCGGGGATAGTATTGCATGGACTCCAGCCGTAGTATAACTGAATGACAGAGGTCACAGGTCAAATTTAGTCTATTTATATGAAATATCACAAAATTCTATGTTTCTGGTTTAAATATAAAAGATATAAAAAATTATCTTATAATGGAATTACACACTTTTGCAAATGCCAGATTGGTATTGCTAGATGAATTGGCATCAATAAAAAACATTTTGCCCAAAATTATAAAAATCTGGTTGCTCCTCGCCACCCAAAAACCCGAAAAACTATTTAAATATTAATGAATATGAATTTTAATCATTATACATTTAAACAATTTCAGTGGCCCAATGGTAGTGTGTCGCACATTTAACATTTTGAACCCGGGTTCTATTCCACTTCTAGCACATTTATTTTTT